CGACAAAATTGAACGGATTTGGGTCGGATATCTTTGTGGTCAGAGCGTAACGCATTGGTTCTCAATCCAAGAAAGTCGCAGTACCTTATTCTAGGATCGCCAAATCAAATAAAAAAGATCACACTAAGCCACCCTGCCATTATTGTAAACAACGAACCTATTGTGAGAGTCTCTGAAGTCAGAAATTTGGGGGTAATAATAGACGACAAACTTCGTTTTGAGAAACATGTAATGAATATTGCACGTAACTGCTTTTATAGGTTGAAAGTACTTTATCGTATTCGTGAGTACCTAAGTGTCACCTTACGTATACATCTCCACGACACGGCCCACGACTATTATCTCAAACACAGCAAATAATACAGCGGGTACAGAATGCCTGTGCACGCTTTTGTTTCAATGTACCACCACGTGCACATGTAACCCCTTTCATTAATAACGCTAATATTTTAAAAATGGACTGTCGCAGGCAACTACACTTTGCCTCAATTTTGTTTGGAGTTATTAAAAATAAAGAACCTTTATATTTATATAATAAGTTGATTTGGTCTAAAGATCAAAATAAGCAGTATAATACCAGATCATCCAATTACAAGTTAGTATATCCTTTCTACCGGTCGGCCGCTTTCAGAGATAGTTTTAAATATAATGCCACTAAATGTTGGAATAACCTCCCGTCTCCACTGCGTGACCTGAAAACAATTAATGGGTTTAAAATCAAATACAGGTTACACTTACTTTCGGAACAAAAAAATACCGATCTATAAAATAAACTGGTAGGAGGTTAAGTTCTTTCAACACGTCAGTAATCTCAGTACCATAAATTATGTAGATATTTTAATTTTCACTTTATATAATATATAAAACTATTTTATTTAAATATTTATATAATATGGATGAGTCGCTCGCGTCCGTAGGCTCCGACCACCTAACCTTAGGCCCACCCTACACGTGTCCCCCCGGGTGGTGCTAAACGAGCGACAAAGCCGAAAAAATAGACTCGGCTCCTCGCCATATGGTAGCGGCGTAAAATCTACCACCACCCCTTGTTCGAATGACTCAGGAAATAAAAGAAATGGCCCCGAGTTCCCGGCGCCCCTTAAATGGGGCAGGGGTGCGAAGAATCTCCGGGAGAAAAACCGGCGACGAGGTTCGCCACCCGTCACGTTCTGTCTCCCGGAGGGGCGAAAAGTGGATTGCGGAAACCCGTCTGGCTACGCTGAATGTATGTGGAGGAATGAATGATAAGATGGATGAAGTATGCGAAATGATGAATGACAGAGGAATAGATGTGTTATGTTTGAATGAGACGAAACGAAAGGGAAAGGATGCCACTGCACATGGCACGTATACCGCGTATTGGTCTGGTGTAGGCGAGACCGAACGGGCGTGCCAGGGAGTCGGTTTCATCCTTTCAGAAAGAATGGGTCAATGTGTGAAAGAGTATGAATGTGTAAGCCCGAGACTGCTATGGATACGAATGAAAGTGAGCTTAAAGAAGCTGTTCCTGCTAGGGGTGTACGCCCCAGACATGTCTAAGCCCGCTTACATTCGAGAGCAGTTTTGGGACATGGTAAGGATGGTGTTGACAAAATGTAAGGAAAATGAAAATATTATGTTAGGAGACTTTAATGGAAGGATTGGGGTGAAGAGGTCTGGTTATGAAAGGATATTGGGAAAGTTTGGTGAAGAAAGTATAAATGAGAATGGTGAAGACCTCCTCACCGTATGTGCGGAAAAGAATCTTATTGTGACGAATACTTTTTTTCGTCATAAGAAGATTCACATGTATACATGGGAAAGAGGTGATGATAGAAGCATGATAGATTTCGTAATTGTGGATGAAAGAATGAGGAGCGCAGTCGTAGATACAAGGGTTTACCGGGGGTCCAACGTAGGGACGGATCATTACTTGGTCTTATGTCGAATTAATGGTCTTTTCAAGCGTTGGCGGCATCGGACATCTGTGTCTACCACTGCGTTACAGCGTATAAGAATAGAGAAGTTACAAGATGAAGATGTGAAAGAGAAGTATAAATGTAGACTGAGAGAAAATATTGGGTGTTTGAATGAGTTGTGTATGAATGATTTAGACTTGAAGACTGTGTGGGATAATATTAAGAAAGGTTTGGTGGATACCGCCACCGAAGTATGTGGTGTAAGTAAAAGAACAAATGAAAGGAAAAGTAATACGTTGTGGTGGGATGATGAGGTACGGGTGGAAGTTGAATCAAAGAAGAAAGCATGGTTAGATTTACTAGCAACCAAAGCTGGTAATTCTTCTGGTTGAATGATGAGATTGAAAGAAGAAAGGCAGAATTTAGACGTCTAAATAAGAGAGTAAAAGAAGTTGTTGAAAGGAAAAAGAAAGAAAGAATGGATAAGAATGATAGAAGGATATCTGATAATTTCCAGGCTAACATAAAAATGTTCTGGAAACTCGTAAGAACTGACAGGGGAAATACAAAACAGCCTATAATAAATGCTATAAGAGACGAGAATGGATGTATTCTGAATGATGAAGTTTCGAATTTAAACAGATGGAAGGAATACTTTGAAAGCGTGTTTATGAGTGAAGAGTCGTATGAATTAAATGAACTAGAAATTCCGAAAGAAGTGGAAAGGGGTATGGAGATAAGTGTAGATGAAATAATGAAAGCAATGAAAAGCATGAAAGCAGGTAAGGCAGCTGGATATGATAGAGTATCACTCGAGATGCTAAGGGCTGGAGAGGGAGTGGTGGCAGGCCTGCTGTACACCTTGTTTAATTTATGTTGGGAATTAAAACGGGTACCGGATGACTGGTGTAAAGCAGTTATAGTACCAATATATAAAGGAAAAGGGTCACAGCAGGACTGCAAAAACTACCGCGGTATCAGCTTGCTTAGTATTGTGGGTAAACTGTATGCTAAGGTGTTAATTGAAAGAGTTATGAAAGAAACTGATGGAAAAATTTGGGATGTGCAAGCGGGTTTTAGAAAGGGAATGGGGTGCACAGATCAAGTCTTTTCCATGCGCATGATTGCGGAGAAGTTTTTGGCCAAAAACCAGAAAGTTTTTTGTGCGTTCATGGACTTGGAAAAGGCTTATAACAGAGTGGACAGGAATGTGTTATGGCAAACACTGAACTCATATGGGTTGAGCGCTGGTTTGATACAGGCATTAGGGTCTCTTTATAGGGACTCTAGTGCTTGTGTCAGGATCAATGGGGTCTACTCGGACTGTTTTGGCATCCAAAAAGGTGTCAGACAGGGCTGTGTAGCTTCCCCTTGGCTGTTCAACCTATTTATGGACCGGTGTTTGCAAACTTTGAAAGATGAAGAATGTGGTTTAAGAATGGGCGAGTTAACCGTCAAATGCCTTTTGTATGCCGATGATCAAGTCATATTTGCGTCATCAGCGGCTGAGTTGCAAATGATGGTTACATTAATGAACTGGGAATTAAAAGAAAGGGGAATGAAAGTGAACGCAAGTAAGACGAAAGTGATGGTTTTTGAAAGAGAAGAAAGCAAAACGGTATGTGAAATAAGAATAGAAGGAGAGTTAATTGAGCAAGTGGATGAATTTGTGTATTTGGGATGTGTATTTAGCAGGGATGGTAGATATGATAGGGATATAGAACGACGAGTAAATGCAGGGAATAGAGTGAATGGGGCACTACACTCTATTATGAAGAACCAGAATGTGTCAAAACAGGCACGTATGGTAATTCATAATGCTGTGTTAGTCCCTACGTTAATGTATGGTAGTGAAAGCTGGGTGTGGCAGAAGAAGCACGAAAGTAGAATAAATGCTGTAGAAATGCGTTCTTTAAGAAATATGCTAGGGTTTAATCTGAATGACAGGGTGAGAAATTGCGTGATAAGAGATAAATGTGGTATGCAAGATGATGTTGTGACCAGAGTTAAGAAAGGAATGCTTCGGTGGTTTGGTCACGTAGAAAGAATGAATGATGAAAGAGTGACAAAGCAAATTTATATGGCAGATGTGAACGGCCGAGTCGGGAAGGGACGCCCCAGAAAAAAGTTTGTCGACCAAATTGGCGATATTTTGAAAATGGGCCACGTTAGAAGTACCCTTAACCGACGAGCATGTATGCGTAGATATATGGATGTAAAAGAGGCGAAAGAGATATGTCAGGATCGTGCCAAATGGAAGTCCGTAATCTCTGCCTACCCCTCTGGGTGACAGGCGTGAGTGTTTATGTTATGTTTATTTATATAATAAATTTACTTTTTCTGAGAATCATTTTCTTACCTTTATTCTTTAGCCAACGTTTATTCCGCATTCTTAATAAATAAAATTGATATATTTAGAAGGAAAACGTTAATTCTATTTTGTACTTACCTTAGTTAGACTAATGATATACACTATTAATTTGAATAAAAATTTAAAAACACATATTTTTTTATATATTCCGCGTCGCATTATAGCATGTGCATTGAGGCAGCCGTCCGAGTTACGTCGGAGTGCGGGCCGGACTGAAAACCAGTGTCGGGATGAGAGCAATTCGTGTTTCTGTATCTCGATTTTTACTGAGTCCTGTCCATTTCACGGTCTTATGCTGCTACACAGACTCATTTTATATTATTTTTACATTTTTGTTAATTTAGGGAAATATTGTTTCATTCTCTGTTTAATTCCAATTTCTTGCTTTGTTTTGTATCTATTGTGATTAGACCGTGAATAAATGTTTTTTCTTTCTTTCTTTTCTAGTCTACCCAAGTGGCGGAGAAGTTCCGATGGTTGCGTTTCACCACTTTTCCAATGACCGCGTCAATGAGGAGTGGTCCTTGGTTCCACTACCACCGTCCCGACATCCATTTTAAGCAAGCGATATCACCTGATTTGAGTCCAGGTGATAAGTAATAATTCTCGCGCTCAAAATGGATGTTGGTGTCTTGTATATGGTCGGTAGACACGTGATGGGGCGGTATTTGCTCGGGTCTGTGGTAACCTGGTCTTTAGGAACCGAATGAGTGATCCCAGTAGTGAAGAGGCTAGGGAGCGACTTCTGGTTGAGACACCATGAACCCCTTCAGCCAGTAGTGATGCAGCCCGGCGAGTCCCGGACTTTTCCAGTTCGGGGCTCTACGGACCGCCTCAGCTACGTCATCCGGCGTTATGATGACGGGGTCCATGGGCATAATACTCGCACAATGACTCGCCACAACTTCCGCAAAAGGGCCCTTGCTGTGGTTTACAGGCTCTGACCACAGGCCGTGCCAGAATGTGACAGTGTCGGCCTGATTCGGTGCTGGGCCCGTTCCACTTAACATTGGTCGCTCCAATGATTTATAGAGCCTCTTCTGATCACTCTGAAAGAGACGATTCTGGTTGAACCGTGTCGACCTCTCGGTATATCGCCGAATCCGCTTTCCCCAAGCAGCGATTCTCTGCTTCAGGTCGTCTATGCGCTCCGTCAGTTTTTGCATTATATCCGGCTGGGACAACCTATATGTCAAATGCCATCCTGACGGTGCGCACAATCTTTGGCCTGTTATTGCCTGACCTGAAGCATATCAGTCTGCCGATGAGTGCCCTAGCCTTTGCGATACGTTCTTCAATTCTTATTCTCCATGCTGGGATAGCGCTACTTTGTCCAGAAGCACGTCCAGCCGTGGAAAGTTTGGCGCCTATAATACGGCATACTGCAAGTGCGGCGCTAAAAAGAATTGAGTTCGTCTCGCAAAGGTCCCGGATTGCTTCCAAATAGGTCACCAGCATTGGGTTCAGAGTCCTCACGACAGCCCGATTCCACTTGAAGCCCGATGCTTAGGGCTATGCGGGGAAGTCGCGGTTGATTTTCGAGAGGCGTACTGCGCGTTTCCACAATCGTCTCTTCCAATGTACTCCTCATATCCTCTAATTCCAGTTCCTGGGTGACTGTTCCATCATCGGATTCACGGCGGCATCCACGTTTGCGGGTTGCTCTGCAATTCGTGGCGCCGCATCCTCAGCCGTAGCATTTTCATCCGATGAGGGAACAGCCTCACGTCGTAGTCGTTCGAGTTCGGCGACATCAAATATATTTGAGCGCAAGATATACTGAACTTGGTCTGCCAGGTTTTGCTCTGTGACGGTTAAAGATGGCTCCAGCACAGCAAAAAGACGATGCATGCTAGCCCGATACGCCAAACCTCCAACTTCTCCCCCTTTTGCCCTAAAATACGCGCGCGATGCGTTGGTATTCATTTGGATTGGCAATCGCATGCAGCGTACTCCACCAGTGGTGGGTGCCGATTGCTGGGCCGAAGACCCTGCCGATACCAAGCCAGCTGGTGGGGATGTTGGATGCGAGGGGCTGATGGGTGGTCGTGTAGCACCTCTCACTCGGCTAGCGGTTCACATGCTGTCACGTCCAGCGCCAGCTCCAGACGCTCCCTGGCAACCTCCAGGCAGCGGCCCTTTGCGCGTTCTTTCATATTCCATCATACATATTAATGGGCGTCATTTAACTGGAGACGCCCAGACCCGGCGCCATTTCATGATGGGGCCATGTGCACAAGCGGGCCTTTGCACCTTCAATTTTTGCCGGAGCCCGGCACTAACACCTCTTGCTAAGGTGCCGACTATTATTAATATGACTTATTATTAATATTATTAAATTCAAATCAGATAGTAGTATCCATTCATCTTCTATATTGAAATTACGATGTTTTTATTTTAAATTCAATTCAATTGTCTCGCTAAGCACTCTTGGTTAGGAAACGATATTATTTTGCGAGGATTTGCAGTCTATCAAATCTGATATAATGGCGGTGACGAAGCATTTTTTTTTTATAGGATAGGGTGACAAACGAGCACACAGTCCTCCTGATGGTACGTGGTTGCTGCGGCCCATAGACATCTACATCTATCTTCCATTACAAATCAAAATGCAGATGCGTTGTCTCCCGTGAGGACTGAGATGGAATGCCTCATTTCCAGTAAAAAGGGTCTCCGGTTCTCTACACTAACCATACGAAATACAGCAGCATTAAGCTACTATTTCACGCTGGTATTCTGTGAGAGCGTGGTCCTTCCCCCGGTTGAGCCGACCCATTCGTGCTACAACTATACTACTAATACAATTGCAGCATGGCTCTACCACGTAAAATGACGTGTTTATAGATTGCAAACTTCCCAACAAATTTGTTTTAAAACGAATTGGCTTAAAACTTTTGGGTATGTTTGTTTGTTTTTATGAACTTTCAGGTAAGTCATGTGCTTGAGCCATAAGGAATACCATTCACATCACGTCCACAATGAGAAGAGACCGGATAATGGATTTACATTACTGATTTAAATACGGTAATAGCTCAAGAGACAAGCACTCGCTTGAAAACATGTGTTGTATCTAGTTATAAATACTAGTTTTGAGCCGAAGTAGCTCAAAGCCTGAGTGAGATCTCACAATCAAAATCTACTGCTGAATATACGTCACAGCTCCTCAAAGATTTCCTCAAAAGGGGATAAAATAGAATACAATAGAATATGTTTTTATTCATACGGATTACAAGTAATTCTTATTAAAAGTCTATTTTTTACTTTATGGAAGTATTTGTTAATTGCCCATTTCCTGGTTGGTTTCCCTCTGTTGTCTTTTACGACATTCACGGACGACATAGGAATACCGCCAGTACGCAATACTGAGCACATGGTATAGTGCTACAAAATTATTTTATAAAGTATAAGTATAACAGAAAAACATTGCGAAAAAATAATAGGAATACAAATATTTAGAATTCTTCATTCCTGGTTGAGCGGCGGGCCTATGGGTTCCTGAGTTCGATTCCCAGGTCGAGACTTGACCCTATTGTGCGAGATGTTATACTAGGTGGACTGTATACGCGGATGGTTTCTTATGCCTCAACAAGATGGCGGACGAGGCATGCGACAACCTTGGACAATGCACTCGCTTTTCCAAATCTATTGCTTTGCCAAGGTTAGGATGGAGTTCTACTTGAGCCAATAAGGAGAAACTAAAAAATGGGACAGGTTAGCTAATAAACAAAAGGCTCAATTAGCAAATTACGGGAGACACACTTACCGGGATGTGATTCTGATGCTGCAGACGACACTTCTGTTGCGGTGGTGCGTTGAAAATAGGAGCTGGCGTGACATGAGGTGGTTTTTTCTGGGCCGCGATTGCCCCAGGTGGTGCGGTTCAGTCTAGTGGCACGAGGTAAGAGAACGCTCGAGAGCGGCGTGCAAACCTTTATTGAGTCGACTTTACCACCACCTCATCTCGGTGGGGCGCACGTTTTATTGGTCGAAGGATCGCGTCACGTTTTAGACCCCCCTACCCCTTCAGTGTGTACTGAAGGGATATGAGAATACAGGAAGGACAGACACTTGACGAGCAATATACCCTCGAAAAAATTAAAAATACATAAATCATTTCTGCGTAACCTATTCCTATTATTTTCAGCACAGTAATTCAGTGGTACATTTTAACTACAACGTCGTTTGTTAGTCAATATTTTATCAGAAGTATTGTGTTCAAAGTAATTTGACACTTACAGACATCTGATATGTTCTTTACACAGACTACGGTTGGCATGCATCCGGCCAGCACTGATTTATGTTTCAGCTCTGTTACGCGTTCGATTTAATATGAGATTTATGTCTTAATAGTTGAGAATTTCCTCTAAATATAATCAATCTACTGTCTTTAATACTGTCGTTTTCTAATAGTATTATCCTTTATCATTATTGTAGTTTATCATTACACAAGTGATGGACTTATACCCTGTAGACGTATAACTTTGCTATAGAATTCTTATATGGACCCGACTGGACACGGTCAGTTAGTCATCAGTCAAACTGATATCAGTTCGAACGGATTTAAGCCAAAAAATTTTCACACACACGTTCAGTTCAACTGATCATTCCAACTGATTAGTTCAAACTAGGACTGTGATATTTTTAAATATCGTATTTTTGATATATCGATAACTATAAATATATTAATATTGGAGTTTTGCATATCGTAAGTTAATATAAATTAAGTCAATATTTAAGTCAAGAGTTAAAAATATTGATATTTTATTTTAAAAAAATCAATCTAAGTCTAAGTCATTGAATTAAGTTAATTTATTATATTTATTAAGCAAATTAAATTATAAATGTATGAAAAAGTTATTTAATAGTTCTTATTAATTGTTGAATTATTTATTTAAGACGATAATGTGTACCGATAGTTTTCACTAAGAGTTTTCAAAAATACTCGTTGTTTTATATGTTCAGCTGTTTAATATATTTAAAAGCACAGGTGCTACATATTTAACTGAAAAAATCAAATATTTAATAGCTATTTCTGATAGAACGGGAGTAAACTGACTACCCAGCGGACAGTCTATGACAACAGCAACTCAAGTTCATAAGACGCCTAACCGATCAAAATAACTTGAGGTTTATATTAACATCGAAGCACTTTCGTCGTTTTCTCTATTAGTTCACATGCGCAACACTTAATACAAAAAATCGCATTACTTTTACGTATCAAAATCTACCTAAAACCATTATTTAAATGATAAAATAGAAGTAAAAATCTGTCGACGGTCAAGTCCCCGCCAAAACATACAGTAAATTAGTTATAAGTTTCGTAGTTTCTAGTTATTTTAGTACCACAGAGATATACTATAAAACTTACATTTCCACTTAAGATAATAAGCAAAAAGTAGTAGATTAAATGATTTACGAGAAAAAATAAAAAATAAAAACTTTTATTGAAAAAAACTATCGACTGTCGATACTCATATTTCGACGCTTAGCCCACAGCGCGACCATCATATGGCTACGTCATCGAGCGAACGCGCTGATGCTGGTGCTACACTAACGGGAAACGTCAATGCAAATAAATGCAGCAATTATTGATTTTTAAGTTTAATGCGGTAAAGTGAGTGGCTACACTTGAACGCTCAATGTCATTAAATTTCAATGCCATTGAACGATGTTAAAGTTGTCGTTAATGTTCCTTGAAGACTTATTATATTTGCTAAAAATGGTTCTATGAACATCCATTAGACTTTCCTTCGTCTTTCTAATTCTTCGATAGTTGTTTTAAAAGATATTAATTGGATGATTCGTCGCAAAGCATCATTTTGCGATGTATGATTCTTACAACTTTTGAGTTTCGGATTTCACAAACATGACTCTCTTTGCAGAATCTCAAGAAACGTAATATCTTTTTTTATAATTCCGCTCTATTATAGCCATACGTGCGCTGTTGCACCTGTCGTGCACTGTGAGAAAAACGTAGTGTGGAAGCTTCAACGCGTTATTTCGTGCGTTTGTTTCTTTGATGAACCGCCACTCAAGTTATCGCCAAACGGCAAAAGGCATTGTTAATTCCATTGTTTAATTAACGCATTGAGTCGTGGTCATACCTACATTCAACGGCAATTCTCGTTAGTGTGGCCACAGCATAAGATTATACAAAAATTATAAAATGAACAAGTCTAGAATTAACTACTATTTTCTGGATGTTAGCGCTGTTAGTCTATACGACTCTTACAACTTCAACTGACTAAGGGCTCGCGGCCGCGAGCAACCTAGAATTAATAAAATAATCATTTGATTTGTTTGATAATCAAATATTTTTCGTATTGTATTACGTTACATAACACCTATAGGTACACTATACTTAGTTTAGTTTTCTTTATTTTTCTTGTGTTCTTTCCCCTTGTGGGGGACATAAATTTTAATTTTTAATTAATAAGTGTCAGATAAAATTGCGTGACTCCTATAAATTTAAATATAAAAATGGTGCCGTCACTGAGATTCTATACACACCTTCAGATTGTACCATCATAAAGGTGAGGTCATAACTGTTACCTAGGTCCTTATGAGCGCTTTCAAATGAGTTTAAACACGATTTTCCAATCTAGTATCGTAACTGAGATCCTATACTCACCTTCGGATTGCACTTTCAGAAAGGTGGGATCATAATAGTCCCCTAGGTCTTTATGAGCCTTTTCAAATGAGTTCAAACACGATCGTCCTATCCAGTAGCGTAACTGAGATCCCATATCCACCTTGGGATTGCACTATCGGAAGGCTGAGATCATAACAGTCACCTAGGTCTTTATGAGCCCTTTCAAATGAATCCAAACACGATTGTTCTATTTAGTCTT